GGAAGAAGTCTCATGTAGTTGGTTTTAAGGGATCCAATTAAACTGCCAAGTAATAAATAGGTTGATTTTAAAGATTGTAGCTGCAGGAAAGTCCTGAAGCATGATCTGAAGTGATATTTCTGGTTGTCTCAATAGTATCAAGCTTTCAGTTTTTGTTGTTTCTCAGAGTGTGAGGAGAATCTTTCTCAGCAAAAAGAACCTATAGGCTGAAGGTGTAGCTACTGAGCTCCACATCCATCCCAAGGACAGCAATGAAACTGCATGTCCATTCTAACCACACATCACTTCAGCATTATAAATACATCCACTGGAAAATTCCTGGGGATTAAAAACTATTCAACCAGTGCTCTGCTCCCAGGAATAAAATGCAATAAACAAGCAAACAACAGGGAGATATAAAAGCAACATGGCTCCAAATCTTATTTATACTCATAAACTTAAAGGAGAGTATGTTCAATGATAAGCTAGACAATGAATTAAAAAAATGATCACAAGAGTGTTCCAGAAAATTAAAGAGGACACAAACCATTTCTTGGAGAAACAATGAGATCCTGAAAACTTGCAAAAAACCGCTACACATAATGATCATGTGACTTAGGATTTCAAGAAAGTTACAAAATGAATAAAAATGTTCAAATTATATAAAAGCAAGGCAAAAAATTCAAATTATCATCTCAGATTTAAATTGAAGACTTGAAGACAGGAGTAAGAATTAGAAAATTGAAACTATGATGAAAAGAATACAAAACGAATAAAGAAAATATAGGAGATCAAGGCAGTATGATTAAAAATCAAATATACAAACTATGTGACCAAGAGGTGGATACACTAAACTCATCAACATATCCAGTGAATGTAGGTATAAATTTCCAAAATACAACAAGGTATATGGCAATTTAGATACAATAGTCACTTAAATACCAAAGATTCAACGTCAGAAATGAAGGAGTCTTGAAATTTTTTTGGTTTTTCAAGACAGGGTTTCTCTGTGTACCTTTGGAGCCTATTTTGGCACTCTCTCTGGAGACCAGGCTGGCCTCGAATTCACAGAGATCCACCTGCTCTGTCTCCCAAGTGCTGGGATTAAAGTCATGTACCACCACCAGCAGATTTCCTTGAATTGTTGTATTGAATAAAATAAAACAATTTAAAAATTTATTTTCTAAAAAAGATAGAAAATTGAGGGTTGCAGGAGAGAAGT